TGCCAGTAAATATTAGTGAATAAACAAAACAAACGTTTGCATCCAGATCCTAACATTTCCAAGTTTGGGTGTGTTCACAGGTATGGTTTTAGTCGAGCCTTCAGTTGCAAACAAAGTTCAATCCCAAATAATATTCTGCAAGGAATTTGGCATTTCTTTTTTTTGATTTATTTAAAAATGCTTTAATTTAAAACAGTGGTACCCAAACTTGTCCCTCTGGCAGCAGGGGAGCAGCAATTAAGGCTGCCTTCACTCTCTCACCACCAAATGTCTGGACCCAGGGGGAACCTCACAAGTTGGATGACATGGCTTCACGGGTCAGATTTCGCCTGCGGGCTGAAGGATGAGCACCACTGTTCAAAAGCTCTGAGTCTATACCCAGAAGTGTGATAAATTAAGGAAAAAATGTAACCATTACCTGGAACATAAGACAGTCACATCCCAATATATGCTCAGCTTCTTTTTTCTCTGTCCTGTGACCAGCATATCTACAGACCAACTGAGGAAACAGCACCCTGTTTTTAGCCCTTTCCCACTTAAACCAGGGCCTTTATCTTAAGCCTTTTAGGTGAAATGGCACATCACCTCCCAATCCATTCTTCAAATCCTAGTCCAAACAATGACCCAGGCTGGGCCCGGGTAGGTATGTAGGGTCAAGGAGCTTTAGTGTAGTTCTGAGGTAACCACATAAACCTGATCTAACCAGAAGAGTCATTATCCACATTGGTACTGGATTCCACAGGAACTTTTGATTCAGCCAGCATTATTTGTCTTGGTATGTCAAATGAGACCTGAATTTGGTTACCTCATTCAAAGACTTGGATGGTAAAGGCTAATGTAGCCACATTAATTCCATTTTACTAATTCTGATTACACATTGATATAGGTATTAGAAATTTAGCCTTTAAATGCAGAAGGTCTTATATGCAAAATCACGGGCAACCAAAAAGCTCCTGTCTTCCTCCACTGTTTCCCTCCCCCTCCACCCCCTCCCACTTGTCCTGAGTTCTGTTGATGCTAAGTCAGGTATCTGACAGGAGATATCTAGGTCATTGAAAATGGTACAGTTTAGGCAAGTTTCAGCAATACGTGCAATGTCAGGGGCAGCACTGATGAGCAAATCATTGATAGTGACAACTTTATTAGCTACACTTACATTCAACAGCATAAATCAATGAGTTGGACTCCTTCCAGCTGATGCTTGACCATTTGATCTAAAATTCCAGCAAAATCAATGACATTGATTTTAAACACAAAGGGTATGTCTACATTGCTGTCACCAAAGCTGAGAAGCAGGATAAATTAGCCTGTGCTGCTGCTGCTAGGCTGCTATCAGTAACTGAACTGGTTTGGCTATCTTTACAACACACATGCCGTGTCTGCATGAGATGCTGACTGCACAGTCATTACTGCGCAGTCATTTAGTGCTTGTATAAATCAGTACTAAATGACTGCTCAGTAACTGGAGTTACTGTGCAGTCACACCAAGGAATGACTTTTTCATGATACTGACTGCACAGTAGATAGTGAGTACTAGGCAGTAGCGTGGCATCATGCTTCCTGCCATGCAACGCTACTGCGCAGCAGTCACAGACTACTGCACAGTCAGCATCTCATGTAGACATAGCCAGTGTGGTCAGTTTTGTGACTTCAAGGTAGATATATCCAAAGATTCATTACAAATACTCCCAGAAACCTACTGACGGCAAAATACTAAAGATCCCAAGTCTCTGCAAGCTAGTCTCTCAGGCCTCTGGGTCTTTGAATATTTTTTTCAATCACTCTAACGTGGCTGGCAGAAAAACAGAGCTGCAGCAGCACAGTGCTGAGATAAAAGACTCTAGTGCAAATTGCTAAAAGCACCTTCTCCGGTATCTGAGTAGATAGCCAGGCATCTCACAAAAAAAGAGAATAGAAAACCCACAAACTTCTCCATCTCCACTTCTTTGAAGGGGTGGCTCTATTCAAGAGACAAGCTCTACTTGGAATAAAAAGGATATATGTATGCTTTTCCCCTCGGTCCATCTTCCCCTTTATCACTTCAGTTATACTAGTCAAGCTTTATAAAAAAGATGGAGCTGGCTGCCACAATAAGCTCAGGAAACTCATTTAACATCTGAACCCTCTTGACCAAAAGTACTTCATTTCATCATAACAGACTGAAAGGGAAAAAATACTGTTACCCGACTTTTGTCTTCTTTTTTGGCTCCTGGAATATTGCTTATTGATTAGTGTTGCCCTGTGCCAGCCTGCAGAGATTAGCAGGGCTAGAACAAAATTAAAACTGGCATTAAAACAAGTCTCAGTAGTAAATACCAGAACAAATTAATTGGGTGAGAACAAACTTGTCAGTCCAAGAAGGAAGAATAAGGTTATTCTTACCTCCCTCAAAGGATGCCTCAGTAATATTTGCAAAGCATTTAGCACTTCTAATGTGAGAACCATATACGCACGGTATGATGAACAAGCCGAAATCAATATGATTATTTGCATGGTCAGTATTACATATATGCTTAAGTGCTTTGCTGGACCAAGGTCTATATTAAGGACTGGAAAGTCTTCTTTACATCTGGCATGTGTGGTCTTTTTTATTACAAAATTATTGCTGTTATAAAAAGAAACAAAAAAACCCTTACCTAATAAAAATTTGTGGCAGAGGAGATGGATTACAATATGGATTATGCTATAGTAAACCTATTTAACATGTGGCACAGGAAGTGCCAGAGTACTGATAAATAAATAAGCACCTCTGGGGTGGGGAGAGATCTGTATAATGGTATTGGTCTGCTTTGTGTTGCTTTAACCATTCTGACGCAATGGCAATTACATTTAATTATAAAATATTGCTTTGTTTTATATTTTTCTGTTTAATCAAAGGTCATTTAAAATGAGGAATCTGAATATATTGGAATATTAACATGACCAAGATAAGACTCACTGGACTCACTTGGTTATAAAATTAGGTACTGAGAACAGAAAGAAAAATCAACTACCAGAATTTTTGCTTTGGAATTTGAGAGAGAAGTACTACGAAGTGAGGAGATAAAGGAATCAGACCCATTATCCCTATAAAACAATCACATGCAAGCCACAGGAGAAACATTATTATTCATATTTTCTACCATCGCTACATCTAGAAGGAGATTAGTTATTTCCCCACTGATGTCTGAGACAGCATGGCACTCAAACCTAATATTAACCTGCTTCTGATTCATTTGTAAGCACACAATGCTTCTCGCGTGTAAAAGGTTATGAATATTGTACAGAGATGCAGGAAGCTGCCTCTTCTGCCCTGGAGGCCACTCATGTGTAAAACATAGAACGAAATTTCTGGGAACATGTTACAAGTGACTTAGGATTCCCAGATCATGTCTGTTTCTAGTTCCAGGCAAATGTTTGGTGTTCACATGTTAGGATCACATGTACTTTGTCAATGATGCATTGTGTGACAGGAGCACTTTAATTAACAAGTGATTGCTGACACCTACAGATAACAATTTACTGAGAACACAAGCACCGCAGCTGTACACAATTACATTGTACATTTTTATTCATTACAAGACTCTTTCCTCCATCAGCCCCTTTCCTTCCATGATCATTTCCCTCTTCTCATTACTAGGAAAAGGGCCCTCTGAAAATTGCACTGTATATGCAACTGAGGGAGGAAAAAACCCTCCAAATGCGAAGACTGCACAAAGCATTACATAAGGTGCTTTTTCCATCAAACCGGGAAGGCAATGAAACAGTCTCTGTAACAGGTTTTCTCCCTTCTAATAAGCTGCTTTCTAGCATTTTTCTTCAGGTACTACTTTGTCATTAGTAACGCAGACACTTGAGGCAAATTCAGACAACCGAAGAGCATGCCTGTTCTTGTTAGAATTCTGTGGACCAAGAAATTAAGCTCGATTCTTCATTGCATTCCCCCCTTGAGCAGCCATTTATACCCATGCAAAGTGAGTGCAAGTACTACAAAACAGAGTAGTGGTGTCTACTTGGAAGGTGCAAGATATCAAATTCTACTTCTACTCTTACCAGTATAGAGCTGGAACAATTTCAAAGGCCCCTCACCAGTGCTGATGGGATTAGACCAGTGCCATGCCAGTGTAAGTCCACACAATTCAGCTCTATCTTCAGTGGAGTTATTCCAAACAATGTGTTGGTGTAAACAAGAGCAGAATCTGCCTCATTGGGTTTCTCTGCATCTCAGCTGAAAAACAAACCATAAAGCACTATGAAAAACAGACCAGGCAGGAAGCACAGGAAAGGGAGCAGCAGGCAGAGCAGCAG